AAGTTCAAGAAAACATTAAAGAAAATCGGATGAAATTGGTAAAGCCGTTATCAATTTTTAGCGTGCCCGCGAAATGGAGATGTGGTATTCGTATTCCCGATACCCGTATTCGTATTCGTATTCCCGATACGAATACCACATCTCTATTCTAATTCAACGAAATTTAGATTGAAACTTGGTGCTTTTCTTACTATGTTTCTGGTTCGTTTTTAATTATAATAATATTCGTCGTCGGAATACAGATTGAGGTGTAGATTTTCTAAGCATATTCGAAGAAAGCTTCACTTTGATAGTTTACCGTTCAAATTAAGTATAACCTTAAATTGACGAAATTAAATTTCGGTTGAACATCGTTATCGAAAGTTTCTTTCCGAGAAAGAGAGTAGACCCCCAGTTTTGATACCTCGCAAGGAGCCTGAAAAGGTATCGAAATATCTACAGTTACTGTCTTACTATCACTTCTAATGAAAGCTTATAGCAGCCCGCTAAAAAGGGTTTTTAAAATGAGTATCTACCAGAACACTGCTATAAATAGGCCTAATTAAAACTTTTTTAGGAAAAATAAAAAAACATAGTCTTAAAACTAGTAAGAGCCTTGGAATCAACCAATCTGTCCAAGTGACCATTAGACCAACCACAGAGACCAACGAATCGCTCACAGATTTTGAGCAAACCACGACGCATAAGCTCACTGTCAACCGTAAAGGTATTTGCTATTGCGAACTTCGCCATCTCAACAGCTGCTCTCTTAATAGATATTCCACAGCAATAACTTAATCAATATTTTATTTACTGTGGAGGTGTGAAACTAATAAATGAAAGGGTATTGGACATTGTGATCACGGAAGTTTGCTCGACACACTAGAGAATAGAAGGGGAAGAATGTTCGGCCACCTTGTGCGACACGACGAATTCATAAAAACCATCATTGAGGGAAAAGTGGAAGGAAAGAGAGGAAGGGGAAGACCGAGGATAGACTACATAAAGCAAATCAAGGAAAAGGTTGGCGTCGAGTCGTACAGGGGGCTCAAAGAGTTGACGGAGGATAGAGGGAGATGGAGTTGGATACATAGTCTGCACCGACAAGAGCATAGCTATTAAATTTAGAGAGAGAGGAGGTGTAAGCCTGCAGTGAAGCGGGGCTTCTACGATCTTCATTGGGGTACGGGTATTCAACCTCCTTAGCGCGGGATCCGGGACACCGGGAAAGGTACTATTTATTCACTTATTTATTATAATTAATATAAAACAAACTTAAATGGTAAATGGTCTACTATCTTAATTTAAGCCTGAAACTGCATGATTTTCTATATAAGTTCAGTGTATTCGCTCAAATTGCGAAAGATGCTGGTTCGAGTTCAACCTAATAACACGGCAGTTATTTTCCTAGTAAAAAATAAATAGTTACCTGTGCCTGTAATAAGTTGATATTATTACAGTACCAAGGCTTTACATTTATTATATTAGTTTCATTAAAAATGCTTCTTGATTCTTCTACATAAACTAAATAACTATTTTTTTTAATGCTTTTGTTCAATAAATTACTCCTCAAAAAGGCACATTTTGGAAACAGATTTTGTACACAGGTAAGTCCTTGGAATTTGCACTTCTTTGTTAAATAACAAAACTTACCCGATAGTAAATTTTCTGCCAATAAAAAGTATCCACAAACTGCTAACTATATTACTGTCTTATAATAATAGTCATATAACGAGCACACACGTTTTTCAGTCATCAACAATAGCGAATCGTAAGTACAGCGCGCGTAACAATCGTCCAGGCGACCGACACATGCGTCCGCGCACGATTCTGTGCACTCACTGAACGAACGTGCTTCTTTATGATGTAGGTTATTGTAGCTATAGCACGGTTGTGGACTTTGGCATTGTATACTACTCGCTACTACAGTGAAGAGAGGGATCCCCAGCTTGCTGCGAGGTGCGTACAACGTAGCGCCGAACGACGTAGCTGTAGCAAAACAGTTACAAGAAGTTTGAACAATGTTATTTTATTTATGTTTCATTTATTGTTATGATATTATGCTTTTAATTATTATTTGATAAATGTCAGTCAATTCAATTCGTTTATTGCATATCCACAATGTACAAAAAGATGTTAAAAAAGTCAAAATACGATCATTATGGACCCTGTCGGGCACGCAACTAAATGAGAGATAGAAGAGAGGAGTTACATTAAAATTTCCATGTTAGTTTATAGATTGAAAGAGTTAGGTACTGAATATCACTATAGTTGATTCATATATTATTTAAGTGAAGAAAATTCATTTCATCTATATAAACAAACAATCAATTAATAGGCGGGCCACTAGCAAAAAATAAAATAAAAATAATATTTGTTAAATTTCAATGTCAAGTTCAATAATATTTCTGTATGTATGTTTGTGTGTATAATTGTATATGTCATTTATGTGTACCATTTTGTGCATGATAGTCGCTATTTACTTAAGATTGTCATTCAAATAATCATTAATCGTATAGTAGCAGTTCTCGATTAATAACAGTCAAAATAATGTTTTCATGTTAGTAATAAACTAGTAAATAACTAACTTTGTGTGACATTCGTAGACACGTTTGCGTTTCCCTATTAATTTCCTATTGTAACAGTCTATTGTCGTATTCTAATCTGCTAAAAGTAACGAAGGTGAGTATATTAACTCAGAAGTTGGATGAATAAATCTTTTGACGTCCCCCTAAATTATTTATGGAGTTATTTTAATAACCGGAGCGCGCCCTTCGCCCGTGTAGTCGGCATGGAGTCGTAAAACAATGCGCCGTCCGCGGGCGCTTCGCGTACCACCCGCTGCTTGACCAATTTGATTTATTTATTTATTTCTAACTTTTAAAAATTTTAATTCCATGCAAATTAACCGTCATTGTATCTCCCATAATTCATATACAATGTAAATATAGTAAGTAATCGGATTGGGGTGACTTTTTTATTGTTTGCGATTCGTGTGTTGTTATTGTGAGCTTTGCTTGCTTAGTAAAATATTAAGTTCTGGGAGGGGTAACGACGTGTTTCAATTCAACATTCGTTCCAGTAAAATTAATACATGAAAGTTGGACCAAAGACTGACCAGAATGAATCAAAGAAATACTAACCATAGATTATGATTTGTTTCTCAGACAAAAACACTTATATTTTTTGTACATCAATATTGCAATACGTCTGGCACTGCATTCAGCACTTGATGGTGTGGGCAAACCGATATTATTTTTATGATTTAATAAAACCATTTTTGAACTGGGCAACTTCAGAAGGTGAACTTTCGTTGCGCCCCGAAGCCTGGTAAAGGATTCGAAACGTCGAGAATAATGTAAAAAGTCTCGAAAACTGGCTATAGTAACAAGTTATTCATCAAAACAGTCCTCATCAGAACTGCCCCCCTAGCCCGAGCGCCGCGATATGATATATAACGCGTTTTTAACGCTCACTTGTCAAAATTTACTATGGAGTTTGTCAATACGCGTTCGCTTCGAATTGGCTGGTTCTACCCTCCCAGCTTCAGAACACCGCGCTTTAGACAGTCCCTATTAGTCGACCTTATTGGACGATGGTACCAGTTGATGTGCCTGTGATTGGCTATCGACGGCCAACTCGAAGCAAACGAGTAGTATTTAACGGGACTAATGTGAATCAACTTTTCTTTACTTTGTTTTTCACCTCCCTATTTTCTTGTATACCTACTTTTATCTTTACTATCCTTCTATGCTTCCTCTTTCGGACTTCTGCCCGCGCCCATGGCTGTATCAAATAGCAGCCTTGAGCACGGTCAGTATATTATTAAACACGTTGAAATTTGTATAAGAATAACCTAGTTAAGAGACATATTGTAAATAATTGAATAAAAATATTATGAATAAAAAAACTCCTGCCCCTCTAGCATGACCACCGAAACGGGATATGATAGAGCGATATATCGGCATTAACTGTCAGACTACTGTCAAACTCCACTGTAGTCTGACAATTAATGGCGATATATGGAGTGTGTTAGACGCGATAAAAACGTGATATAATGTAAATTGTGGTGCACATGCTACCCCCGTAGCTACTGATGCTACTGAATATCGTATGCGGTCGTCCAGAAAATATAAACGATCTCAAATACGTCGAGATTACGTAATTTTATCACAGAGTTCCCGAGAATCCCACGCTACCTTTCTTCTCCTTCTATCAGTCTTATTAGTAATTCAGCCGCATTGCTGATAAATGACACGATACATGTTATCCGACATTTTCTTATAATTTGCAAAAGGCAAAGGAAAAACAACGAGCGAGCCTTACAGTAGTCGCGTATCATATGTGTATCATTTGAAAACCTCACCTTATATAGGTAAAAAAAAGAAATAAAACCTTCTACAAAAGAAATAAGCCTTTTGAACATTATGATCTAATATCAAATCATATAGCGCGCGCTTTCGCGACTTCCTGTTACACACTTCAGTCTCATTTCACGAAATCACTCCCACAAATTGTAGGAAAGCGATTTTGTTGTACATTGTGTTATTGATGTTGGAAGACTTGGAAGCACATAGTTAGGTAGTTGCTTGATCACCTTCGATAATCTAATCATTTTTATACAAGGCGCAGCAAATTACTCTCGCGTTAGGTCGATGCGGCCCCACCCGGCCCATCCCGTAGAACCCTCGGACTTTACTCACCAATGTTATGTAATTTGACTGTGTTCTACTCGGAGGCAAACTGCAGCGGAACTTCGTGCGTAGATGGATCCGAATTTCTTATACGCCGTGAACGCAGCGCCGGAAGCGCCATCTCTCGAGGAGGCGAGTGACTATTTCCTCCATGTTAGTTATATGTGGGGCATATAGATGTCGCCGCCACAACGGATCACCATATCCTGGAGAAGTCTGAATTTAGACAAGCGATATTTTTTTATGTTCCTGCGGGATTCTCAAAAGGCTAACAACGACTCGGTCGAGGTCGGGAGCGGGAGTTCGTAGTGAATAAAACAAAAGAAACAACGTGTGTCGTAATGATTATTTAATTTATAATTAAAGTAAGGGGAGTGTAGTCGATTGCTTGTGTATTGCTCATATGTTCCGTAGCGGTAGTCTACCCGGAGAGGTCGCCGTGGTCGAACAGGTCCTGGTCGTAGAGCGCGGCGCGCACGGTGCGGCCCCCGAAGTAGCGCCCGTTGAGGGCCCCGGCCGCGCTCGACGCCTCTGGAAGGGGGACAAACAAACCGGGGCTCAGCGTCACACCTTGCGGTACTCCCAGCCAATATACACAACGAAAGGGCCGTTCAAGTATTGCTTAAGCAGAAAAGCAGAAATAATTATTACAATTATTTACCCCCTCCTCCCTCTTGTCAGCAAAAGTAAACAAAGCTCTCCCCCCCCCCCCCCCCCCATACATATATGCATGTTTTTTTAATGTATTCTGTTTTATTTATTGATTCATGAACTTCATGAGTAGCGGTACTTAAATAGGCTTAGGATAGAGGACTGTAACGCGCCACAGTATTCAATATAGAGTAAGGTACAAATATTATATATATATATATATTAAATCTTATTAAGTACTATTACGAACAAAACAAATTTCTTTCGAATTTTTGGTAAATAATTAATTCCAATTAACAGTCTTCAGTCCATAACACCCGAATCCATGATGCTGACGTAATCACTATCTGTCATTTGCAAATGTCATCAAACATAAGCAAAGCAAAAACCCCCCTGCCTTCCTATAACGCTTAAGTCATACTTGAACGGCACCATACAAACTAAAAGGGCCCATAACGCACCTTGGGGCACTCCTGTACCAATCAAAATGAGAAACAAACGTGGGCCCAACCCGCACTTTGTGGTACTACTAGTAAGAATAAAAACTCTTGACAGTTTGACTATAAATAGAATTGGTCTTCGAAAATAATTATACAATATTTAGAGGCCTGTCGAATGTATCGATACTATATCAATTAATTAGAACTATCAATAGGTCTAAAACTGAAATGGTATTCTTTGTTAATATCGTTACCTTCCATAGGACTATTGATATTATTTTTATAGGTATATAAACACGCAAGTAGTTATAACTTCGTACAAAAATGGGTAAATATTAGATTTTGTTTAAAATTAACGTGTCGAATGATTTTTGCTATCGATACTTTCAATAGTATCGTAATAATCGATAGTATCTATACAATAAATAAGCCCATCGATGATAAATGATGATTTACGAAAATATCAGTAGAGTAATCTATTGCTGCAATGGGGTATTTGACAAGTTTTAGTTCTCACGGTCTCACGTTATTGACTAATGTTTATGGAGTCCGTAAAAAGTGGATATTCATCATTCTGTTGCGTATTTCAGTAAAAATAACCAAATCAAAAACTCTATTTTCAAGTTGCCGCGAAAACGTTTCTCTGGACAAATATGGCGTCTTACTAGTGTGTGACGTCACACGACTGTTATTAAAACTTCAAACGATACAATGTAATGTCACTTTGACCGGAAGTTTACTTGCGTGTGACGTCATTTTAGGCTCCGCCAATCCCAAGCGTTTTGGGTCCCGTGACAATAGATACGAAAACTATTATCTTTTTCGTGGCTTTTTAGGATGAATATTTTTTTTTGGAAAATAGTAAAAACCTCTGCCAATAATAAGTCTAACCACAGATGCTAACAATTGGCACTTTATTTTTAATACTGTTAAATACCCTATTGCACGTAAGAGTGGCAGCTGAGTTAAGAGATTGGGCCTCACCGTCTGGCTCGGTGAACTGCACGAATATCTTGACGTTGGCGTTGGCGGGGTCGTCGTCCTCGTTCTGGCGCTCGTTGTAGATCACGAGCCGCTCCACCTTGCCCCACTTCGAGCATTCCTCCTATATACCACAAACACATTTATTTAATCACATCATCGTCAGCCTATTAATGTCCCCACTGCTGGGGCACAGGCCTTCCCTATGGATGGAATAGGGAGATTAATCACAGATTATTATTATTAAAAAATGGGTGCGTGTACTTATGTAGGCGCGTGAGAAGTTATCCTTCTTTCGCATCGTCTAAAATTAGTTTTTAATTGCATGCAAATAATTAATTACAATAAATTAATAAATAGTCTGGAAAAGGACACAGTCAATAAAGTTCAGTTTTAATTTGAAAAAATAAATAAATAATCAAAATATTCAATTAAAATCGCTACTGAATATAATTTATTAGAACATATGTGATTTGCACTTGTATGAAACTCAAACACGTATTCCGAATATACAAACTAGAAACATGTGGATAAATATTATAAATATGAATACCTATAACTGTTACTTTATTACAAAAAATAAAGATGTGGTTTTTGGTTCTACTACACCAATGGTTAAGAGATGGCGCTGTAGCCTCCTGAATCGCGCTTTGGTTCAGTTGTTCCAGATTAATAAATACTTTTGATAGGCCTTCACAATGCAGTCGTTAGCACCCACTAAATAGAGATTCTATTTCTATTTTGTTGGTAGATTTTCTTAATGTGCGGTAAACACAAAAGTAACAGCATGAAGTTGGTCGCTTTAGCGACCAAATTTAAAAATTTTGTGTTACAGTGATGCGCGCGCATCTTAAAATTTCACTCTCATCATTTTTTCATAACGCGCCTAAAGAAGTATAACTTCAATAATTATGTATATATATATATATTTTTTTATTTATTATTTTTTTATTTTTCTTTTTTTTATATATTAATATATATATATATATATTTTATTTTTTTCTTATTATTTAATCACAGTCGTTGTAAATAAATGAAATATTTTTGATTGAAATCGAATTAAAAGTTGAGGTACCTAAACACCTGGCTTTCGCTGTCCCGTTTAGGAAGAAAGCCGTGTTCTGAATAGAAATATCAGTGTAACGTAAACATAGGGTAATAAAGTTTTTTTTTCTTCATATGTATGCCCATTCGTATTCCTTAAGTATTGCTAAGTATACATTTATGTGTAAAAAAAATAAGTTGAATTCATAAATAATGGAATTTAATAACAACTTGAACCACATGCAATTATTGATCAAACGTTTAAATTAATGGCAGCACAGATAATAAAAACGGCAATGTGTATCTTTAATTCAATTGAAATAAAAGAAGCTCGTCGCCTCAACGATCCCTGACAGATTGTCTGGAGACGGACAGCATCTTTAGCTTTACCTCGTGATGTAGTGATATGTGTTCGTACTGTCGTGGTGACGAAATCTACAGGCTCCACATATGAAATCATTCGTCTTATTATGAGACGAGATCGATGAAGTGGTAAGCCCTATCGATTGCGGATTGTTGAAGCTAAGCAACTTTTGCAGCGGTCATTCATTGAATGGGTGTCTAAATGGTGAAAGTCAGTCTAGTTAGTATCGTAGTATCATAGGATGCAATGCGATATGAACTATACAAGTAAAAGAGATCCTGTATCTCCATCTCTTTTATGTGTATAGCGTTGTTCCGCATGCTGAATCCAGCGAGATGGATAGTGAGTAGAGGACTTAACGAAATGTTTTTATTTTGAAGACTATAAAAAATCACGTAATGCAACATTTTACTTGAACAGGCAATCAAACTAATTCGATAAACTTTTTATAAAAGCGAATCGTAATAATAGCACATATAAAATGTGGTTCCCTATAGGTACGTTGATAAGAACTGGATAGCATTGGCATCCAATATCGGTATCGAATGCGCGTAACTTTTTTTTTATTGTTGGGAAAATGCGTGACGCATGCCCGCCCCGGGGTGAGAGACGGGGTTCTGCGGGACTCCTCTTTCCCCACATCCCGCCCACCCGTTTCGCTAAACTGGCTCAGCGGCTGTTCGGGATGAGGGGGGGCCCTACCCTCTAAAAACCCAACAGTGCTCCCTCGCCTGCCGGAACGGGTTTCGTGGGATCCAGGTGACTCTCCACGTTACCCGGCAGGGGTTCCTCCTCCTCCTGGCGGTCGCGTAACGACGGGTGAGACTGTGCAAAGCGGTCGACGGAGCACCCTGTCCGTCGCCCGCTAGCCTCACTAGGGTGGAAAGAGGCGGTCGTACCGCCGCCGCCTACCACCCCGCCGTCGGCGACGAAGGGCCGGCCCGGGCGCGTATATAGATATGCCAGTTCGGTACGTCCCCGTCGGCTGAGCCGAACTGAGTTAGCATTTCCAAACGAAAAACACGCGTAATTCCCGCTCCAATACGTCTCAGACGGTGATGTACTGCAGTAGGATTTCAAGTTATAAAACGCGCTGCAAAGTAAGGGTCATCCTAATTCAGTTTGTCAACGAGAAACTGATACTAAAGGATGGCTAAGAACTAATAATATAGATTTCTGGTGTAAAGATAGACTAGGTATGTAGCATGACAAAATAATTATCTATCAGGTGGCTGGCATCTAAGCTCAGGTCACAACGCTAATCTAACCTAACCCACTTGTCACGAATCTGTCGTCAATAATATGGTATTTTTCTATTACTTAAATATGTAGATAATATGGGTTATCTAACGACAACAACTACTAGCATGCACATTATGGCAGACGTAGGTTTTTTTTTTTTTGTGTGTGGTAGCTATATCGGCATAGAGAGACGTATCGTGTTAGCTTTTCTAAGAATATTTTGTTGATTCAGCTACTAGAAATCCTACCCCAATACGTCACGTAAGCTTGACGAGTAAGATGAGGGTTCCCAATACATTTTAATGCGTATTAACTTAGAAATCCTACTGCAGTACATCGCCGTCTGAGACGTATTAGAGCAGGAATTACGCGTGTTTATCGTTTGGAAATGCTAACTCAGTTCGGCTCAGCCGACGGGGACGTACCGAACTAGCATATCTATATACGCGACCCGGGCGTCCCCCTAGCGGGCCCTCTCCACTGTCTCCTTCTGCGAGGAAGTCATCCTCCGGAAGTCCGCAGTCCAGGATAATAATAATAATAATTTTATTGCTCAACAAAAGTAGGTACATGAAAGATTGAATATCCCGATTTCTATGCTAGGATAATAACCCTGTGTTACAGAAATCAGTGTCTTATCCCAAAGATATTTTAAAAACTACTTAGTTTACAATTAAACGTTTCGTGTCCTGAATGTGTGTATGTGTGTGTTCTACTACATTTTTACTGGATATTACGTTAAGAAAATTTTATATAAAATTAATACATATTATACGCAGTCCAGGATCTGTCGCTGTCCAGCATCGCTTTAACGACGCTGGGCAGCGAGAGATCCCGCCCTGCTGCCATGACCATATCATGGCGATGCCGAGACCACGCCGAGCACTCCTCGAGGGTGTGCTGCGCCGTGTCCTCGACAGCACCACAATGATGGCACGACGGGGTCGCTTCCCTCCGTATGCGGTGCAGGTAGCTGCCGAAGCATCCATACCCTGACAGCACCTGCACCAAACGGAAGGTCGGCGACCCATGCCTTCTCTCGCTGATCCCAAATTGTTGTGACCCTAGCTCCTCGGTCTACTCTTGCAAAACGACCTCCTCCAGCCTCCGCCCTTTCCCAGTATAGGCGGGAAAGCGCCTTCGCCTCCAGCGCCCACGAAGGAGACCCTGTTATTGCGCAGGAGGCCGCAAACAATATGGTGCAGTAGGCTCGAGCAGTCCTTTGTACCACTACTCTCTGCGGCCTCCACAGCTAGGCTTCACTTTCCGCGCCTATACAGTCTGCCCAAATGGGCGCGCGCGTATCTAAACCTGGCATCGTTATTTGAAGAACGCCCACCCCTACATTATAATGGCCCACAGGAAAGTCCATCTGGAACCCCTCGCCGCCACAACAACACAACAATCCCCGACCCACAATAACACAACAGTCCTCGACCCATAATAGCAAAAAAGCCCCCGACCCGCAAAAACACAACAGTCCTCGACCCACAACTACCCCCAAACAATGATGCTACCCCCACAGGTCAGTCCCCCGTACAATAACGTTTCCCCCTCACATCAAAGTCCCCCGTACAACAAGGAGGTTTGACATAATAGACGACAAAGTCCAGATGACAGAATGCGAACCCGTTATATATGAAGTAGCTCAAGCTAGAACGAACGAGATAAAAAATATTGATTTCATTTGACTAACATCGATCAGGCAACGGCCTCTTGGTGACTCTCGACTGAGCCTCAAGCTGAGCTGAGCAGCAAGCGACCTTCCAAAGTACGATATCTTCAAATTTTAAAAATTGAAATCTATCATATAAACTTCTCGTGTCGCGGTGTTTGTGGTTAAACTCCTCCGAAACGGCTCGACCGATTTTCGTGAAATTTCATATGCATATTCAGTAGGTCTGAGAATCGGACAACATCTATTTTTCATCATCCTAAATGTTAAGGGTAAACCACCCCTAAATTTTTTATTTTCAATTTTAGATATTTTTTTTTATTTTTTTATGATACATCATACAAAATTACATACAACCCAAAATTTTCACCCTTCTACCACCAACCCCTATTGTTTTATGGCGGTACGAAGTTCGCTGGGACAGCTAGTAAAAATATAATAGGCTACAATATGTTAAATGTGTATATGTGATTACATGACGAGTGTGTATATACCTGTATCTCGTGATGCAGCGCGTCGTCCACTTCCTGCGGCGCGACCATATTCCGCAGCAGGAGGGTCCTGGAGGCGCGCCGCCTCAGTAGCCGCTGCATGACCAGGTGTCGCGCGGACTGGCCGGATATGGACAGCGACTCCTGCTGCTGCAGCGTGTCGGGGGAGGACTCCAACAGCTTCCGCTGTAAGGCAGCCTGGGCGCCGGATTCTGCGTTGGCGTTGGCCGCGTTCATGTTTCCCATACCCCCGCCCATATTGCCGCCCATGTTCCCACCCCCCGTTGGCATAGGTTCCGCCGTCTGCGATGATAAATTCAGAATCATTTGTTGCTATAACACAATAATTTAAGGAATGTCACGATCGGAACCTTAACCTACTTATTGGTGTCGGTTATTGCATCATTCTCTGAACCTAATCTTAAATTTGACATCGGTCTACTTTCGTTCTGTATAAACAACTAGCGGCCCGCCCTCGTTTCGCTTCGGTGTAGAGCCGAAGTGTAGACTACAGTTTTTGTTCTCAGGCTTGTACAATACACAATGATATTAATCTATGATTCTTCTTATACCTGCATGCGAAGTCTCAGCCCGATCGGTTTAAAACTGACAAAGTTTCATACAAACTTTCATTCCCTATTTTATCCCCTTGGGGGTAGAATTGATCAAAATCCTTTCTTAACGGATGCCTACGTCATAACATCTACCTGCATGCCAAATTTCAGCTCGATTCGTCCAGTGGTTTGGGCTGTGCATTGATAGATCACTATGTCAGTCAGTCATCTTTGAGTTTTTTATATATAGATGAAAAGGATACAGTGCTGTCAAATTAAATTATGGGTTCAGAGAATCTTGCCAGAATCGACACCATTAATAAACCAAAAATAAGCTTGGATTAATTAATCAATGTTTTGTGTCGCTTAAATGAATGAATACAAATGACATTTGAGTGATATAAACAAATCACGTTAGTTATCAGTAACTAGTCTGAGCTTATTCCTCGTTTATTAATAACAGTTAAAAAATGGTTGCCTGTAAAGTCGGTTTTACGGGCGAAGATTTTACGTGACAACGTCTTTTTCTCGGTAGAATATTTATTGATATGAATATAATTAAATTGCACAATAGGAACAAGGAATTGAATGAAAATAAGAATTGCACAAATTTTAACTATAGAAATATATTTTGTTTACTAAAACATTGTACATGTAAACTTAAACTTAACACGAGAGACTCATCGTAACGTTACCGAGCGTTACACTTTTTCATAAGTGACTCCCAGCCGCAACCTAATTTAAGACGTTGTCACGTCAAAAAACATAGCATACATTATCTTACATTATAAACACGAATTGAATTGACTAAATATCAATTGTAACGAAATCTTACTACATTTTATAAATCTAATTAAGCAAATTCTACTTGATAAATGCATCAGACAGGACTCGAACCTGCACATTTCGGTATTTAAGCAAAAGTACTAAACAATTATGTTTTTTTAATAACCGTATAAAATTGATTATATTCTAATATTTCTTAGACAGCAAGGCAGCGCCATCTTTTCTTATGTCAAAATATAATTTAAGCTTGTAAAAGTTTAACATTGTTGATTATCCAAAATATGAAAAGATAGTGTTGCTAGCGTTGCTTTGCAATATAATTAATATAAGAAGAATAAAGAAAGCAACCATTAAGATGTGCCCTCCTAGTATGAGCACCGTGATATGATATATAGCTTGTTTTTAATCACTTTCAATAGTCAAATTTCTATGGAATTTAACGATTAGACTTGATCAAAAAAACGTCAATGTCAATTGGTTTCGCTACGGGGACTGGCTAGCATAAATTTATATCTAGATTCATTAAAAGGTAGTTTCAATTTTCACATTTGCGGCCGCAATATTGAAGATGGAGAATCTAAACGTGACAATGGGGAAAAGCGCCGACATTATTATTGAGTGGGATTTTGTTCTATTATTATTATTTATATAGCTCCTTGTACTACGGAAAGCTAAAAATAAGTAGGTATGCCGACAAAAACAAACGGGTGATTGCATTAACAAAATGATGAAGAATTTTATTATATAAATGATGAATTTTTTTTTACAAATGTACACGTATACAAAACACCATGGTTGTCGTGATGTGTTTTCTCAAGCGTACTACAACAAGGGTACAACCTCCCGAACGTCGCATGACACTCGATCGTCATAAACGTTTTATCAGTCAAACGTCCGAAAACACTCGAGTGTCCTCTATTGGCGGTCTTGTTTTTTGCTCATAAGGCACGCTTTAGATAAAATTTTCATTGTTGTCTGTGGTCGCTGTAGTTTGGGCAAAATATGAAGATGGTATGGTGAATAAAAATGCAAGTTTGAAGTATGCGCTTTGTAAAATACGGTGATGTCGGGAATGTTTCGATCGAGATACCTACCGAAAACCAACAATCAAAATAATCGAGAACACTAAAATATGTTATTCCTAAATTTCTAAACGAAATGTCCCTTAGTATTCAAGAATTGTATAATATGAAAGATAATTGTAAACATAAACTTAAAAAATATTTGTTAGAGCGAATCGCTGGAGACAGATAAACCCATGCTTAAGGGTTTTTAGATACAGCTATTGTATATTAAAATGCAATTGATTTGATTGAATAAATTGTAGGAAGGCCAAAGGGGAAGATCTTCCTCCGAACTGGGTGATTGTAGCTCGGGGCCGCGGCCCGACTGATGTTGGTCTGGCATCGTATATATTAAGAGTTAGCCTCCGAATTTCATTCGCGTGATGTAGGTTTCCCATACTATTATGATCGCAGTGCAGGTAACGCCATCTTTTGAGGAGTCGTGAGATTGTTTTCCTCCATGTTAGTTACATGTGGGGCGTGTAGATGTCGCCGCTACAAAATCTAATATATAAAATTTTCGTTTCGCGGTGTTTGTGGTTAAACTCCTCCGAAGCGGCTTTCTTGATTCTCATGAAATTTTGCGTGCATATTGGGTAGGTCTGAGAATCGTATAACATGTATTTTTCATTCCCCTAAATGTTAAGGGTAATCCACCCTTTATTTTTTTTATGATACATCATACAAAAATACATACAACTCTAAATTTTCGTCCTTCTACCACTAACCCCTATTTTTTTACGTCGGTACGAAGTTCGCTGGGACAGCTAGTAAATTTATATAAAACTAGCAAATCAGTGAACGAAACGTTCACCAAAACCTGATTTAAGAAAAAAACAAAAAAAAAAGTATTTAATTAATCGAGAACTTCGGAGATTTTGTGTGGTTTCGTTTGAAATTCGTGATTTCTCGAAAACCGGAAGTGCTACGTTACTCAAATCCGGTCTGTAGTCTCATCAGACTATTGTTAACTTATAACTTGAACATTCTCTTTATCTATCTCTTACGGTTTGGCCGCTGAAACGGCACCGCAGACGGACGGACGGACGGACTTGTCTAATTAAATATATAATGAGAGTCACCCTGCGTGGCTGGGGCGGGTGCGGCGCGGGCGCGGGCGCGGGGGGCGCGGCCGGTATGACGACGCCGGGCGGCGGGATCACCGCGGGCAGCGCGGGGATGGAGGGTATGGCGGGTATGGCGGGTATGGCGGGTATGGAGGGCAGCGGCAGCGGCAGCGCGGCGGCCAGCGAGGGCAGCGCGGCGGCGGCCGGCACGCCCAGCGCAGACAGCTTCGTGAGGCCCAGCGCCACCGCGTTACTCGCCACCGCGTCCATCGCCTGAGGGTCACCATACAATACTATACAATTGCATTAAATACGACACAAATAATGCTGTTACGTTTTGTACGAACCCTAGTCAACTCGGTACATTGAATTGCTATTTCTTGATATCGAACACAGGAAAACACTTGATAAACTTGACGAAAATATTTGTTGAGTTTCCTCTACACCTTTCGAGATGATGATGTTAAATGATAGTTTAGTGATGAATTGATAACACCGATTATGTTGAAACTGTTATGTTTATTAGCAAGCGCGGTACATATGACGTCGGAACGTGAACTGATTTGCTTACGCTAATACAATTACATATTTACTTAATAATACACAAAATTATAAATTGCCACGTAAGGAAATGTTTTGTTTGGACTAAACAATATTTATTATTAAACTTGAAAGTAACCGTGTGCACACTGCTTAAGACGAACGCGAACTAACTTGGGCGTGATCATGAAATATATTTAAACGGTAAAATATTGACCTAAACAAATTACTTGCGGTTAAAAATGCTTTGCTAGCAAAATGTACGATTTGATCGTACACATTTCATCTAAGTTGTATCTTAACCTATTTAGTCACACAAAAATAACAAGCAAATTTTTCTGTTCAATTACCTATATAAATGTCAATAATTCTTATTATAATATTATAATTATTTGATGTCGTTAATTTATCATGTACATAATTATGTGAATGTCATACGGGTGACGATATGCAATCTCAACTCACGCGCAACTCACCACGAGCGGCACCTAACTCCAGCGCTCGACAGTACCCTTAGCGCGAACCAATATCGAATTCGTATCGTTTGCGAGTCCGAAATGTCATTATCAAATGTGTACTGATTTTTAGTTCTCGTTGCGTACTTTCTGCCGCTACTGTTCAAGTTTCCATACAAAATTTGATATTGACACTTCTATTTGCAAACTAATCGAATTCGATAATAGTTCGTGCTAGAAGTACAGAACGCTAAGGGAATAGCCACGCTACGGTGCGACTGGACTATACTTGTAACAGATCCGAAGCGGGTAAAAAAAGGGCAACTATATAACCGACCATGCGTTTCAATATCACAAATATTTCCCTATTAAACTAATTTATAGTACCTATTACAACAAAATTTTTTTCAAATGCGTTAAATTAACAATCATGGATTAGATAATTGTCTAAAAATGACCCTGTAAGTAATTTCTGATATGTAACATCTTTTCTCTCCCTTTCGTGCGATTTTTAAGAGTGATTCGTAAAGTGGGACGGAAGTGTGTAATAAGAACTTTAGGAAGCACGCTATTTGATTTAATTTTGGAACATAACGTTCAAATTGCTTATACCTTTTGTAGTAGGTTTTACTAATATTTTTGAAATTTGATAATAAAATGCATATCAAATGTCCAAAATATGATGGAAGAAATTAATTTTTTCCACCTAATTTGTGTGTAATTACTAAAAAAATCCTTATGATTAACCGTTTTAATAGTTATCATAACATACACATGGTTTTACTTTTACATTTGAGTTTGATTTCAGGTTGTGATAGACGCCCTATATGTAATACTGACTTGTATGTCGGCATCGCGCGTCGGGCGGGCGGGCCGGCCAGCGCGTTGGGCGGGGTGATGGCCCTACCCTCACCTGTATCTTGGCAGTGGCGGCCGCGGCGGCGACGGCGGCCGCGGTGGGCATCGCGCGTCGGGCGGGCGGGCCGGCCAGCGCGTTGGGCGGGGTGATGGCCCTACCCTCACCTGTATCTTGGCAGTGGCGGCCGCGGCGGCGACGGCGGCCGCGGTGGGCATCGCGCGTCGGGCGGGCGGGCCGGCCAGCGCGTTGGGCGGGGTGATGGCCCTACCCTCACCTGTATCTTGGCAGTGGCGGCCGCGGCGGCGACGGCGGCCGCGGTGGGCATCGCGCGTCGGGCGGGCGGGCCGGCCAGCGCGTTGGGCGGGGTGATGGCCCTACCCTCACCTGTATCTTGGCAGTGGCGGCCGCGGCGGCGACGGCGGCCGCGGTGGGCATCGCGCGTCGGGCGGGCGGGCCGGCCAGCGCGTTGGGCGGGGTGATGGCCCTACCCTCACCTGTATCTTGGCAGTGGCGGCCGCGGCGGCGACGGCGGCCGCGGTGGGCATCGCGCAGAGGGCGGGCGGGCCGGCCAGCGCGTTGGGCGGGGTGATGGCCCTACCCTCACCTGTATCTTGGCAGTGGCGGCCGCGGCGGCGACGGCGGCCGCGGTGGGCATCGCGCGTCGGGCGGGCGGGCCGGCCAGCGCGTTGGGCGGGGTGATGGCCCTACCCTCACCTGTATCTTGGCAGTGGCGGCCGCGGCGGCGACGGCGGCCGCGGTGGGCATCGCGCGTCGGGCGGGCGGGCCGGCCAGCGCGTTGGGCGGGGTGATGGCCCTACCCTCACCTGTATCTTGGCAGTGGCGGCCGCGGCGGCGACGGCGGCCGCGGTGGGCATCGCGCGTCGGGCGGGCGGGCCGGCCAGCGCGTTGGGCGGGGTGATGGCCCTACCCTCACCTGTATCTTGGCAGTGGCGGCCGCGGCGGCGACGGCGGCCGCGGTGGGCATCGCGCGTCGGGCGGGCGGGCCGGCCAGCGCGTTGGGCGGGGTGATGGCCCTACCCTCACCTGTATCTTGGCAGTGGCGGCCGCGGCGGCGACGGCGGCCGCGGTGGGCATCGCGCAGAGGGCGGGCGGGCCGGCCAGCGCGTTGGGCGGGGTGATGGCGCGGCCCACGCGCAGGTACTGGCCGCCGAGGTCGAACAGGTTCATGGAGGCGATGGCCTCGAGCGCGGCGCCGAGGGTCGCGTACTCGATGAACCCGTACCCCTTGTGCTTGTGCGCCGACGCGCCGTACGCCAGCTTGCAGTACGTGATGGGGCCGAACGCTTCGAACACGCTGCACGCGGGACGTGTAAACGGTCACCCATATGACATTTCACGGGTTAAAACGAGTACTTTAATAAAAGATTTATGTTTCCAACGAATATTACGAACGAATGAACTCCCTAAATGCGTTTCTCGACATGTTTATTTACATTTCTTAAAGTTTGATTTAATAATATGCTATCTTTTATAGAACTAATTTTACTTTAATAATTTTTGAAAAAATATCATAAATAAAAACTCAACTCGAAAAGTACGATTATTTTGTCAGATGGAAATCGTCCGCTATCCTTACATTAAAACAAAAAGGGTAGATACGGCACTAGCCTCACAAAAGTGATCCGCATGAATTGTGGCCCAAGGCCACAATCGCTTTAGTCACAACTTGACATGCAAATGACGTACATGTGAACGTCAAAAAGAAATATTGCTAAAATTTTGTGATTATATGATAAAACAATGCCTAAGTGTTGTGTTAAAAAGTGCTCAAATTGCTCAAGTACTAAAAATAAAACCGACAGCATCACTTTTCATTCGTAAGTACTATAAAATATATTTTTGTATAAAAATGCTGTTTGTTTTGAATCTTATTCGTTATTTGTTATTAAGAAAAAGACAACAACACTTGTAAACGGTTGTATGAGGGAGAAAAAGCATAAGCGCGAATATTTGCCATTGTAATGTCAGTCGATAGTAAAAATTGGTTAGAGTCAACAAAAAAAATATTTAGTAATTTTTTTTTGGAATATTAATTTATGTAGATAAAAAAATATGCTGCATTTATTAAACTCATCACATTTTGGTTTCTTCGAAGAGGTTTATTTATTTTTTCAGACATTTTAGCTTTAATATACTCTGTACTTACAGAAATGGCGTTTTCATTCTTTGTAGGGTTTAAAATTGTTTTTGTAATCTTTTTCTTCTTCCAGTGCCTCTTCAATTCTGAAAGTTGGCCGTTAGCTTCTTGTATGTAGTTCTATCAGCAGCCAGCCGGAACAACTGTTCTTTATACATAGTCATCCCTTAACCTGTCAGTACCTTAAGACTTCTTTCGATTTAGAATGGTTCTATGTTTTGGAAACTAATACCAAAAGGATAGAGCGCGTGAAAGTTTGGGAGAGAAGGCCTGTAAAGTCACTTCTAAGTAAAAATTGTACCAAGACGTGACGTCATGGGAAATTCCATATCAACATATCTCTGTAATGTTTTGATTATGTGAATAAGAAATAAATACTTGTCCAATACTTTTATTAATATATCTGGCCGACGAAGAAAAAAAGGTTTTGTCATCAACCCTATTGCCACACAGTAGGTATAGTTCATTCGCGTTAAGAAAATAGTGACTCATCAGTGCAACTGCAGGGTAAGGGTGTATTCATAATGGAGAAAAAATTAAACATTTTTTTTCAAAACATTAAATAAGTTTAATAGAAAAATAATAAAGTATCAATGATTTTAAACATGTTAAAATATTCCTATTAAGGTAATTTTTAATGTCAACTTAAACGCTATATTAGTAGAGTAACACATATTTGGATTAATCGTAATAAGTACTAAAATAAAAAAATACAAAATTGTCTTAAAACTAAGTACTTAAATCGCTAATCAGTATCGCTAGATTCTCCCGTTACATTTATTACGAATGAATTTTGTTCTGCATGTTCCATGACGTCATCCAAACCCCACATGGTATTTTCTTCGCGTATCACGTGGTCGCAGCATTTCTTCCACCGATTGGCGTCTACTAACGCGATTGCGTCATAAAATTTTTTTTTTACGTCACTCATTTTGAATGTAGTATTATTCGCAGCAATATAATTTTTTATTTGGGCCCACACCATTTCAATCGGATTTAATTTACAATGGTAAGGCGGCAGACGAAGAATTGTAATGCCATTGTTTTTAGCAGTCTCATCTACTAAATATTTATTATATTGTGGGGCGATTTCGGCGACTTTCAATAATAATTCTTTTTTCAAATAACTCATATCCATAGATATGTCTTTGTTTTGCAACCACTCTAGTATTTGCTGCTTATTCCAACTGGCCGTGGGTATTTTTTCAACTTTTACCGAATGGTAGGGAGCGTTATCCATGACAACCACACTTCCTGGTTCAAGCTTCGGTATTATACCATTGAACCAATTAAGGAATCTTTCACCATCCATTTCTTCATGATAATCTTTTGTAGATTTAGATTCAAAGACTAGTAAACCATCTTCCAGGAATCCTTTTTCGCTGCCAATGTGCAATATAATTAACCTTTTCCCTTTCCCTGTCGGAGCTTTTGGGCCGGTTGATAAGCCATCTTGGAAAGCTTGTCTTTTATTCTTGATTGTTGTATCCAACCACACTTTTGTTTTTACGTGTCCGGCGTTTACCCACGTTTCGTCGAGATAGTAAATGGTTTTATTAGCGTTTCTATATTCTTTTATTTGTCTTAAATATTTTCGCCTCCATAAAACAATATCTTCTCTTTCCACTAACAATTTTCTACTATCTTGTTTATTGAAGTCAAAACCAAGCTCGTGCAGTATTTTGTGAAGTGTTGTACGTTTGAAAACAGGAATATCTTCATCAGCTTCGCAAAGTGTTATTATTTTGTCCAATGTTGGATACTCGTTATTTAAATATATAGAGTGTACTTTTCTCCTTATTGCACATTTGTCTAGTTCATCTAATTTATCGACCGTGGATAGTCGAGCTCTTTTTTTCACAGGTGATTTCAATGTATTCGTTTCTTTTTGTTCTTTTATAATTTTATAAACAGTGTTTTCGGACACACCGCATGCACTTGCAGTTTTAATTACTATGCTCTCCACAGTCTCATTTAAATCAATCTGTTTGAAATATTTATAAACATTGTAAATTACGCGTCTCTCTCCGCTATGTATAATTGATCCACTTTTATTTTTTTTAATAGGTGAGATATCCATTTTCCAAATTTAATTTTAAACAAGTAGTACGCAAAATACACAACCGATCAGTTCGAAGGTCTGACTTCAACTGAGCACTGTGAACTCGCCTTACTAATTTCTAGCGTTTTAATTGGCTAGGGGGCGTGGCTTGGCCGGCAGTCGGTGATGAGTCACTATTTTCTTAACGCGAATGAACTATAGGTACCTAGTAAGATTCTTACTTCTGTTATAAAGCCCAAGGCATAACTTATGTTTATTTTTATTTATCGATGATGATTATTGTTTTTGTTATTTAATTTTACCTTTATATTTTTTTATTATTTAAATGAATAATTTAAAGTATAGTTTAGATTAGATTTATAAAACAAGCAATTCATGCTTAGAAGAGAAATTAATAAGTGTTTCGGATTAGATTCTTTTAAATACTGTAGACGATGAAAATTTCCAAATCCAGCAGTGACGTTATCATGTAAAAAACCTACTTTTAGTAGGTATACTTGTAAACAGTTTCATTCCCTCAGCTTTTCAAAGTAGATTGAAAATTGCTCAATGTGGAATTTTTTTATTGAATTTTAATAAAAAACTTATATTTAATAAAAAATACTTTTATTTTTTTCTCTGACGCTACTCTGTAGTGACGTCGAGTACTGGTCGCGTGATTGGTCGGTAGTGCAGTGACGCGGATCTCGCCGTCACGTTCGCGCTGCAGTTGAAACTTATATTGCTGTTTCGTTCGTTCGATTGTATCTTTACAAACAGGTGGATGTGTGAGTGTTGAATATGTAGTAAAGTGGGATCAGTTTTTGTTTGATGCAAGTAAGAGCGTACCGTATCTACCCTTTTTGTTTTAATCTAAGCCGCTATCTATGATTGAACAGTGTTGAACTGAAAAGTCTATTCAAATTTATTTTAATTCATGTTTACTATCGAAAAGGGAATCAATTCAATAAATTGTCATGGACTAAAACACCGTTTCATTTTTTTTTATCAGTAAAATCCAACATATGCATAATCCACTAGTGGGACCAGGTCGCGTGGAGCCGTAATAGCAATGCATCAGTCACTCCGCGACCACTAGTGGGACCAGCTCGAAACGACAGGTTACAAAAGGTACGAAAACCTTTATTAAAGTACACGTTTTAATCCGTGACATTATAAAGCAATGTGAAATTTCATAGCGTAAATAACACGTCATTGGTGTCGATACTGGCATCATTCTCTAAATCTAAACTTCATTGAAGAAGTATACGCAAAGCTCGACAGAGGTAGCGCTGCAAACGCTTGACCCAAACCACAGCCGAATATTGCAGCTGTCAAATTTTAAACGTGTTTTTTTGTTGTTAAAAATATTAATTAAGTAGTAAAAGTGTATTCAACATGGTCTGTAATACAGCTGAAAACAGAGTTGAAAAGGAGGGGAGCATCTGTGCAAGGCAGAAAAGCTGATCTAGTAGAAAGGCACTCCTTCTATTATTATTCTAGCATACTCATTCTCGGTACATAGATGTATTTTTCATGATTATTTTAATGGTTCATGGATCGCAGTAACTTTTAGCGGGCTCATTAGTCAAATCTATCTTATTTTTGCATCAGTCAGACATCACATTACCTGAAGTTACCTCTGGGAAGTATAACATTGGGTTTTTTACGGACTTGAGGCATATGACCGCATATATAGTCGCGAAGCATGCAGTTTTCTTACAATAACCAGGTATTGCACAACGCGGCATTTCTAATTTATTTAATAAAAAGCTTTAAAATTAATTTAAGCTAGGTTTATAGGTATGTATTTGATAGAAATTTTGGGTCAAGCGATTACAGCGCCCCTAGTGGGAAAATTTTGCAGATTTCTTGTCCATTAGACAACGGTGTATCCTTCTTCTGGATAACCTCCGTGGCCGTGTGGTTTCTACGCCGGGTTTCAAGGTGTCACCTACTCGAGAGGTCTCGGGTCCGAATCCCGGTGGGGGCGGATGTTTGTGTAATGAATACGAGCATTATGCACATATTTATATGAAATAATAACAATAATGTGATTATAAGGTGGATGGTGAATGGTCGGTTGTGTTACTTCTTGATGTCGTCCTCGGTGAGCTCGGGGTGTATGGAGGCGACGTAGATGCGGTTGTACTGCTTGGCCTCCTCCTGGATCTCGTCGATGACGGCCTGCGCTTGAGGCATGTTCGACGGACGACCCACCACCTTGATGTTCCTGCAAACACAAAAAAACTCAATTTTAATAAACACCTCATTATTATCATCCTGTGTCATTAAATAAACAGCTTCATGGATGAGAAGAGGAAGAAAAATTAGAAGATAGGAAGATGACAAAAAAATTTTAGAAGCCCTCGTTGTCTTTCGCTTTCCTTGTATATACTTGGACAAGGAAAGCAAAATGTAGAAAAATTTGAAGACATTATAGAGGAGACCTTATGCGAAAGACCGACCTAAAATAAGAAAAAATATATGTATATTATAAAAATATGTAAGAAAAAGTATCAATAAACCACATTAATTATTCTTATTATTCACTTTCTCATTATATTATGTTTAAATTCACAAAAATCTTTAACAGAGAGAGAAAAGCACAACGCCATCAGCCATTTCTTAGTCCGGAGTCTTGGCACAAATTTGTTAAATGGCAGCTGCTTTATTTCTTCAGGAGTTTTGTTCCTTTGTTCCCAACGAGTCACGCTGTAACCTGTTACACTGTGACTCATTGGGAGAACTGAAGAATTTAATAGCCATCGGCTAACTATTATAATTGAATTTGGATGTTTTGGGCACCGTATTAAGAATCAGTTTGTTTACATTTCACCGGTTTTCACTAGTTTTATCTTTTATTGGTTTTTTCCATTTCCAATATATATAGGCATAGGAGAGGTAGGATATTAGGGATTTTGAAGTAAGGCTGTCATTTTCTATCCAGAATGAAAAGGAGATACTGACGTTAAAGGACAATGCCCATGTTTGATACAGTTATGTCTCATGCATCAATATAAAAATAATATGATAATTATTTTCTTTAATTTATACGTATGTTGGTCTATCAGAATGGCTTTTTTGAACAGGGAATAATTTTATAAGTAATATTAGTCATCATCATCATTTGAGCTGGATATCTGACATTTGTTTATTTATCGTGAAAATAGTAATGCCATTGTGTCGATCGTTGTTTTTGTTACTGATCTATGTAACATCAAAAAGCAAATAATCGCGTTTTACTAATTATTGTTAAATATCTGTAAACCTAACTTTAACTAGGGGTTATTAAGGATTTGAGGTTATGTCAGATTTTTAATAATACCATTAAAACCCCTGTTTTTATTTTCAAAATACCAATTTTTCATACTAATCTGAATATTAAACGATCATTTAACGTTTGTTTGGTATTGATGCAACCATTGTACGGTAGTCCATACATCCATGAGTATTCTCATGTAGTTTTAAGTTCACCATGGAGCAAGTAATGGTTAGTGGAGTGCTCACCTGCCCCCGAGCATGACGCCGTTCATCTGCTCTAAGCTGAGCTGCGCCGCCTCCGGGATCTCGTACTCAACAAACGCGAACCCCTTGTGTTTCTGCGTGACCGGGTCCCACGACATGTTGATCGACTTGATCGGCCCGAACGGCAGGAACGCCTGCCTTATGGTGTCTTCCTTTAACTCGAACGATATCGACCCTACGTACACCCTGTAAGCATTACAGGCTGGTATAGTAACAACGTTCAATAGCACTGGTAGCAGTCCAGCGGTTACAAAGCATTCAGATCTTTTCAGCTTTCACAATCACAGGCTCGACCAGCGCGAAGCGGGAGCCTCCATCGATCGCTCTCATCATGCAATTAATTACTTTCACTGTCATAACGAAATTTGGTGACTAATTATTTTTTGTCGTACTATTCGTAAGTGGAATTCTTTGCCCATACACATAGTTCCTATTAACTACAATCTGAGGTCCTTTAAAAGAGGCGTGAACAAGCGTTTCAACAGGCCGGCAAGATGAGGATGGTTGGTGTTGCAGTTTATAACTGCTGCACAGGTCTATTCACACTTTTTACATCAGGTGAGGTAACGTCATTTGCCTACCTATCCATAAAAATATGAGTGTTGAGTTTTCGTGGAATTCGGGTGCGAAGATAGCCTGTACTGTGATTGTCTCAAAAATCGTCCTCAATTTATCTATTACTTTTATTGTGCTTATTCAAAATGTTTCTCTTCAACTTTTTTCGGTTTCAGAATAGTAACTTTGTAATTGGGGTTTCAGTGTATCTGTAAAACATTGTTGGTTTTTATAGAAGTGTGCGCGTAACGAGTATCGCAGAAAGAGGCGATCTACGGCCGCGTTCTGGGTAGCGGTATTCGCTTGCAATGGAAGGTCAAACTCAATCAACCGAGAGCTGGCCACGGCCGGCGGGCCGCTTCCGTTTGGGAGACACTCAAGGGTCCCACAAACGGAGACGCGTCATCCCGCCATCCCGATTTGTCTGCGTGTGTGTGTGTGTGCGTGTGCGTGTGTGTGTGCGTGTGTGTGTGCGTGTGCGTGTGCGTGTGTATATATACCTGCACATGAGCGCGAGCGCCTGCTGGCGCTGCACCTGTGTCCGCTGGGAGGCCATCTGCTGCTGCTGGTGCGCCAGCGTCTGCTTCATGAGCACCATCTTGATGCTCTGCTCCATCGCGTACTTCTTGGCGCGCGCCACCGCCTCCGCCTGCTCCCCCGACAGCCGCGGCAGGGACCCGCCCAGGATGGCCGGCAGCGTCGAGCACTTGGCGCCCGGACCTGCCCCGTCACAACACATCGCACCGGTCACATTCACGTCTGACTGCCTGTCGACACCGCGAGCGCACGAGCACGAGATACCGTTACCTGTGAACACGTCGCCGACCTGCTGCAAGTCGTACACCGGCGCGGCCAGAAAGCCCCCTGAAACACACGGAGTTCCGATCAGTTCGAGCCGAGCGCGCGCGGATCGCACAGAAGGGGGCGCTTCCGTTCCACTCTCGCGCTGCTCGCTCGCGCTGGTGCTCCGTCGACGCCGCCGGCGACGGCGCGACGCGGCCGACGACTCGCATGCGTTTCGATTTCATCAAAATTTATTCAGGTTAAAACTTTCATCCTTCGGTATCGTACAGGATAGTCGCCTTTCGTTCCGTCTCTCTCACTCGGCCGAACGTCGCGCCCTTCGACCTGCCCCGTCGCGGCGCCGTCGACGGAGCGCCCCTGCCGCTCGCCTGGCGCTCGGGGACGATGCAGTATAATGAAGTAAGTACATTGTGAGGCCGGCGGGGAGCGGCCGACGGCGGGGTCGCGGCCGGCGAGGCGCCACGCCTAAGCGTATAATAACCTAACTTACAAATCTAGTCTGAAACAGAAAGCAGAAACACTGATCACTGAGGATGGTTTCGATCGAGATCATTGATAGAGACGGAGATCGGGCCGGCGGCGGGCGGCGGCTGCGGCGCGGCTGCGGCGGCGGCGGCCCTGCAACACACGCCGCGGCGTTAGTGGGCGGGGTGCCTTATAAGGGGCCTCTCGGGGCCGGACGGGGCTGTACACTACGGGGCCGGCCGGAGCCCGGGCGCGGGGCGGCGCTCACCTGGCGCGGGCGCTGCGGGGGGCGCCAGCGAGGGGGCCGAGGGGGGCAGCGGCCGCGGCTCGCCTCCCTGCAACTGAACGCGCAACGTTACGAGACAACGATGATTCGTGTCCATCTGCCGCGTACGTAACAGGGTGATCACCATCAGATACATATAAATAAAGTTTATGACTTTGCTTATTATTTCAGCTCTGTTGCCCTTAAATAGAAGTGACCGATCAGTAGCTGTATTTAAAATTTTCATAATAATCATGAATAGACTTGCAACGAATAGTATATTCGGCAGTATACCGAATATTCGGCGAGCCCCTGACCGAATAGCCGAATATTAGGCAAAAGTATTCGGCTGGATTTTAGCGCCAATAACTTGTATAGACGTGATTGTTTCGCGCTGCTTTGTTTTGTTCTAATCTGCCGTCCTTAAGCTAAAATGCGGCTAAATAACAAAACCAACTTTTGAGATATGGCCAAAAATGGCGTGTTAACTTTAAATTATTGCTATTATGTAACCATTCATCACTTGACTGAATGAATTAAAAACTGTTAACTTGTTTAATACAGAAAATAATTAAATTATGTACCTGATTTATGTACACACTTTTATTATAAATGATTATAAAAGAAATGAGAACCTTACCCTTCAAAATTTTGATTACCACAATAATTCAAATACATAGAATCCTCCATTTTTCCAATTCAGAAGATGATTATGTACCTGTGTTATGTACCAATGACTACTTAAATGATTATATAACAGAAATGAAAATATGAATATATGCGTAATCAATCGATTTTAAATTTTCATTTTACCAATTATTTTTTTATGACAAAATATATTATTTAAGTATTCGGTATTCGGCCAAATAATATGTAGATATTCAGTATTCAGCTGAATATAATAAAAGCAGCCGAATACCGAATAGTAACTGAATATTTGTTGCAAGTCTAATCATGACCATTAGAACATTTTTAGAAACAGCACTGAAAAGTGATTACATGAACCCAGTGTGTTCCCTATTTTCGATATATTGTGTCTTTTGACCCTGTTCAATATAGAGTGAGAGCTGAGAGCCCCCTAGTCCTATACCATTTTAGCGATACATTTCTTATAACATACTATGGAAACTTGGCAGTTCCAAATCAGAGACTTCTCACTATTTGTCATTTAAATCATTTTTAAAATTTCCATCACACCACCACTCAGGAAAGTGCAGATCTATAGAGATAGCTTTAATTTATACAATCCAATTTTTTCACTGGAACAAAATGAGAACACTTCCTTTAATGTTAATTGTTATTGTGATTATGAGTTATGTTGCTCGAAATAAATGAATTTTATTTTTTATTTTATTTTATTTTATTTTTAAATAACTTGACCATTCTTTATCACCACTGCTTTGCGCAAATTATGAGTTAAAAGAAGTTTTTTTATTCATTTAAAGATTATTTTATAAAATTATTGATTGAAATGATAATAAATCTTATTCCAATTATTCAAGCAATTATTCCAGTGTTTCGAAATAAAAATTTAGATGTGATATGTCACTGTATAGGCAGTCACTGTATGCTTTTATATGCGGTTTGTTTACTTAATGGTTTCTATTGGGTTTTATCTGGGATCTTGCCAATTGGTCGTAATAACTGGTCCGTCAGAGTAAACATGTTTGTTATATTCGTTTTTGTAAGAAAAGAATGAAAAATAATTTTAATCGAGACTAAATAACAGTAAAAGAATATAAAAACCTAATTACACACATCTAAATAATTTTATCTCAAATCGGTCTAAACTCTGCATAATGCTGACGTTGCCATCAGCGCTGGTCTTCCGTTGGAACTGAATCAGTGACAACACAAAACAATAAAATTAACAAGCTTTAGACTATACACTCTTTGGCAGAACCCAAAAACATTCAAACACAATGTTTTAATTTCATCACATTCATAGTAAGTGACAACGAGCCATATAATATCGTCCTGGGTACCAAAGAAAAATATAAGGTTATTAACCATGAGCTGCTTATTTTCTTGTGCAAACAGTAAAACAGCATAGATAGAACAGACTATTTAGAAACTAGGTAAGGCAGTGGGCTAAAATGACAGGCTTGGTTTTCTTAGACATCATCACCAATGCCAGATTTAGAATAGCTGTTTTTTTTTATCTCATTTCGTTTGTTTATACAGTCGGCATTCAATTTAATGCTCTCGTTTTCTAACATCATTAAAACTACATGTCTATTTTATCAACATTGCTTAGTCTAATTCCTATTTATATTATACCAAAAATATTACACTGCAATGTTGAAAATTAAAACCAGTTCGACACTATGTAACTGTTTAAGACATTTTATACATGCGCGTGTCCCAAAAACAACTAAAAAGGAAGTATAGGTTATATATTCAAAAAAAATAACACGGTTACGGCAGCAGCATTCACAATTAAGTACATTAATAAGACTCACCAATTCCATATTACTCTGATTGTACGTTTGTATTAAATAACACTTTTAACTTAAATATATTTTTACGATTGTTTGCTCAATTTGACTATTTACAATTTTACTAATAAAAAATTTCAATAAAATGAAAAGAAACACGGTAACAACGCTTGCGATCCAATCAAACCGAAATGTGTCAAATCAAACGTCAAACTGTACTTTTTTATAACATTCTCCCTTTGCAGGGAAGGCAAAGGGTACAATACCCATACAGCCTAATCTTCTTTGTTCTTTATTTATTTAGAAGATTTCATTCTACGAATATACCCGCCTCATTGTACCCTAACCAAAACTTATACACAACTATTTAAATTTAAAAGATTGGAGGGTGAGCTATTCTTAGCAACTTTGATGCGTCTGAGTTTGGTAGTGCTAATATTTCCACAAATTTACCTACATTCCCAAAGTTAAATCAATATTTCCATATGAATATCTATTTCTATTTATTTATTTATGGACCATCAACACAGCTATATTAATACAAACAGATTTATGGTTAAATGTTAAGATATTATTTAATTATAATTAAAGATGGCCTCATCATGCGCTGCACAGTTAACAGTTGTTTTTAACAATGGTATCGATTCTGGCATGATTATCTAAAACTTAATTTAGGACCAGTCTCTCCTTTTCCCTTTTATATGGAGAATGACAAGGATACACTAGGCACAATGCTGGCGTGCCAACTTATATCTAAAACTAACTAAAATTAGTTAAAAACTTGTCAAATTCAATTTGGTATTCTGCAATGACACTCTATCTCTGATCTCTATATCCAATTAAAAATTGACGTTGCTAAGTTATTCAACTTAGATTTAGGTGATTATTTGGTATTCTGAACGCGTTCTATATTTCATATTTTCTCTAAAATAATTCTCTTTAAGGACCTACAGAGGACCTCACCTAAATTTAAATGTGAATAATTGGGGTCAATAATTAGGTAAATGATTGCCATAGATAAGTTTTAAGCTTATTGTCAGGGTTTGATATGGGTTTGGTTGGTTAAAAAAAGTTATAAATTAATAATCAAATATGACGTTGATAATAATAAGTGGAAAGGTACATTTATAATGCCATTCAACTAAGAATAAGACCGACTGGGCGCCATATTGTGAAGTCATAGCTGTCGATATCTTTATATATATAATTCTTCTGTGAGTGTGTATGTCACTGAACTTCTCTTAAACGACTGGACCGATTTTGATGAAATTTTTTGTGTGTGTTCAAGGGGATCTGAGAATGGTTTAGATTCACAATTTTGTCCGCTGGACAATGTTTTTGTAATTAAATTTTTTTATGGCGGTACGAAGTTCGCTGGGTCAGCTAGTCTTTATATATATAATTCTTCTGTGTGTGTGTATGTCACTGAACTTCTCTTAAACGACTGGACCGATTTTGATGAAATTTTTTGTGTGTGTTCAAGGGGATCTGAGAATGGTTTAGATTCACAATTTTGTCCGCTGGACAACCCCTATTTTTTTAGGGCGGTACGAAGTTCGCTGGATCAGCTAGTTACATTATATATTCGAACCAAATAGGTAGAGTGAGCAAAAAAGTATTTATTTAATAAAACTTATTTAATAAGATTAAGTGATTTTTCTCACATCAGAATTTTTAATAAAATTTATTTACTAAGTTTGAGAAAAATACAACCGATTTTTAATAATATTTATTTATTAAAACTGTGCGAGAAAAAACATTAATCGGAATCTAGTTCTTCAATTCCGCTCATCTCTGCATTACTAATGATCATGCACTATTATTAGGTCACATATGTATATGCATCCTTTATGTAAACGAAAGTTTTAAATCGATTTTATGAACGCAATTTAAAGTGATTGACATTTGGTTGATTTAGATTATAAACCAGTCATGGTCAAAGCTCAATAAATGAAAAAGAAATATCAAACAATATTAAAAATTATCAATATTTTGTTATTGTTTGTTTACAAATGTTTGGTTTTTATTCTAGAATTAGATAAAAAAGGATTCCAAGATTTTTTTGTAAGCCGTACTTTTCAAACAACATTTTACAGATGGAGATCATTGGCTTTCCTATTCTTATTTGAATCGCACTATACTTATCTGTTTGCCCCGAGTAGTTTTTTTTATATAGGTTGGTTGTTTTAATTACGTGGTTTTGTTTTTATAAACCTAATGGTGTCGGTGATATGTATGCCGATCACCAATTCCAATCCAAATGTTATTTTGACTTTAAATGCAGGTACTTTAGACTTTAATGTATTATTAATTCTTTTCTTTTTAGTGGTTTTGTTTTTATGAAGCACTGTTTGATATTTGTTAAAAATGTTTTTATTTCCCACTTTTTATAAGCTTAAGCTTTTTATAAGCTAAACAAACACGAATGTTTGTAATTGAGAAGTTGGTTTTTATATATGCGAAATTACTTGGCATCTTCACCAAAGGAATAATTGGGATTTGAGACCCACTGTTGAAAAATATTATGTATTCTTTAATATCTAATGGGTCCCGACTGTTAAAGTAGCTTTGTTCCTTATTAACAGAATTATAGACTACTGGACTTGTTTTTTTCTTTTCAGTTTTTCTTTGAAGTATAATTAATTTAGAATTAAATGTTTTCATAGTCTCCAAGATTTCTAGCATTTAACTGTTAGATTTTTTTCTAGTAAACTTTTCTTTAGATTTAAATATTTTACTGTTTCATTTGGGCTATTAGTGTAAGTACCGTCAGGTTTTTTGAGAGTGGAGGGAGGTTGTGTGACCGGTTTCGTCCGTATTATACGGTTCGTTACCGACCACACATTCTCCTTATCCTGCTTGTTGCATAAGTCTTTGAAACTCGCAGTTGATGCGTCGTATTTTGCTTTTGCGTATTGGCTTTTAAGTTCATTTTTAGTTTTAATTAAATCTTCTAACGGTAGTTTCTGACGTACGGCTTTCGATAATCTATGATGATTACTAATTACTTTTTGTTTCAGGTCATCCAGTTGCTCCGTCCACCAGTGAGGTCTGCGCGGACCACCTGAAGACCGTGGTAATACTCTTTGGCAAGTTTTAATTTAAGTTTTAATTTAAGGTAATCTAATTATTTGTAGGGTATTATCCGAATCTGTTCTAGGTTCAACATAGACTGAATGTAAATATATTACTTTTCCAGATTAATCTCTGGCCTGTACTATTGTAAGATTGTCTGTGGTTGTTGAATTAACAAGTATAGCACTGAATTTATTAGACTTAATAGCGATTGCTGATTTATTTTTCTTTGTATTTGATTTATTTAAGTTGTGAAACATTGTGTATCCATCCAAGGACTTTGCATACAAGGATCTACCAATATAAGGTTCCGTAAAGAATATTATGTCGAACTCTTCATTTTTAGGGTTCCGTACCTCAAAAGGAAAAACGGAACCCTTATAGGATCACTTTGTTGTCCGTCTGTCAAGACCCTTTTTCTCAGGAACGCGTGGAGGTATGAAGCTGAAATTTATATCAATTACTCAGGTCTACTGTCCCTTGAAGCTGTGAAAAAATCAAACTTCTAAGCCAACGCAATCAAAAGATACAGCCGTTTATGCCGCAAATTTTCGACACTTGCAAGGGAATCAAAACCTACAGGGTGCTTCCCGTGAACTCAGAATCTTGAAATTTGGTACCAAGCAACGTCTTATAGCATAGATAAAGGAAAAATTACGAAAACCATAAATTTTTAGTTACATCACATAATATATTTTTTTTTAATAATTTTAACCTTACTACCCATTTCCTCATAAACGCGTAGAGGTATTAAATTGAAATTCATACCAAATACTCAGGTCTATAATACCTTTAAGCTGTAACAAAATCAAACTTCTATGTCAACGCAATCAAAAGAAACAGCAATTTAAGCTGCATATTTTGAAACTCGCAAGTACTCGCAAGGGAATCAAAACCTAAAGGGTACTTCCAGTCGACCTAGAATCTTGAAATTTATCATGAAGCAACGTTTTATAGCACACATAAAGGAAAAATTCCGAAAACCTTAAATTTTTAGTTACATTACAAAATATATATTTTTTAATAAATATAATCTTATTACTTTTTTCCTCATGAACGCGTAGAGCTATCAAGTTGAAATTCATATCAAATACTTAGATCTAATTGCCTTTAACTCGTGAAAAAAAAAAATCTAAGTCAACGCAAAAACGCAAAACGCAAAAGTACAACTATTGATACCGCATATTTTGAAACTCGCAACTACACGCAAGGGAATTAAAACCTAAAGACCACTTCCCGTTGACATAGAATCTCGAAATTTGGTAAGAAGCAATAGCTTACAGCACAGGTAACAGAAAAATTCCGAAAAGCTTAAAATTTTAAGTAGTTATACCACCAAAAAAATTGTGATTGTAAACATAATTGTAGTTACAGCAATGACCGCGAGTTATTATACTATGTATGGGGAGGGCAACATTTTTCAAACGGCAAAGACGACCTCACTCATCGTCATTCAATCCCGATGTTTTGGTGAATGTAGCTGTATAATCTAAATGCGTCCTAACTGCTTAAAGTGTTATACTTATAATTAAATTCAATGACATTATTATATTTCTAATTGTTGGTTATTATCAGACAGCTTGCTTGTATTGTTTCTACTGGCGAAGTTTGATGGGACGCTGGTGGCACGGGAGGCACGCGGGGCGCGGGGCGGGGCATGAACGCGCTCGCACTGGCCCGCGGGTGCGGGGGCAGGCGACTGGCCAAGAGAAGGGGTATCGTCACACAGCGAGCGGCAGCTTAAATTTATGCTCCTCCATCTTTCCCCATTGTAATGTTATGAATTTCATTTTGCAATAAAAATACCATAGTTATGACTCGATTGTCGTAATGAACGAACTTTGTAAACCTTGCAGGTTTGTACGGAACCCTCGGTGCGCGAGTCCGACTCGCACTTGGCCGGTTTTTATTACAGGCAACAAGTTCATCATATGTATTTTTATTTCTATTAAAATTCAATTGCAGACATTTGAGGTTATTATTTCTAGTCGTTTTACTATTTTGTGCCATAATCGGTGTTTTCGTTGGCTTTAGCCATAACGACTTGTTTAATGGGACATTGAAGAGAAGTTGCAGCATGATTGGTAGGGTTATTCTTATTGTTTTTGGCGTTATTTTTAACACAATTGAAGCATTTAGTTGCAGGTTTATCTTTTTT